ATTCCTGCTCCCAGCTGGACCAAGCAGCAGCACAACGTTAACAGAAGTTGCTCAGGTTCACGGTCAGTAAGACTGGGGTTGCCAGCAGAAGTTGAACATTTGCCCCTGGGTATCTTCTGCTTGGAAAAGCCAAAAGCGGAAGCAGACACTGGGGCGGTGTCAGGGAGAAGGAGCCAAACAGATGTCAGAAAGTACCAGCCACACTCCCTGCATCTGCAGCAATGGGGAGGCTCTGTGCAAGGGGTAGGAGACTTCTGCCCCTCAAAGCAGCCGCAACACTCACGTGTTTGAGGGAGGTGAGGTGGGGACAGGACTTTTTCAATCAGTTAGTGACATCAGGGCAAATCCTGGGAATCCCAGCCAAAGAGGAGGCTTTCACTGCACTAAGCTTTCCATAGGCAGGCAAGAAAAGCAAATCCCTGCTCCCTGCGGTTTGGCATCTCGGGGTCAGGCGGGTGGATGAAATAAGCAATTGGGATCAGGCTGGATTTACACTAAAGAGCAGTGCACTAGGGCTTGGCTTCCTACCAGTGCTCTGCTCTGGCATCGGGCTGGGCTTGGGGAGAGAGGATGGGATCTCGCCTTTTCTACCGGACCTTCAGCAAGTAATCAACTGGCAAGCTCTAAGGCTGGTATTAAAAGAAACAGGACAGCCGAGTTTAGCCTTCGGGCAGGGGCAGGCCTTTGCAAGTCAGAAATACACAGGCGGACGAGATTTTAGGGCTGCCGGATTCGGCAGGATCGCTTCAATCTCAATCTTTTGCTCGACTTTTTCACCCCTGCAACAAGAAGCTACCGTGTCCTGGGGAAGGGCTGCGCTAAGGGCTCCGATACCAGCTACTACATCAAGTTTATAAAAAAAAAAAAAAAAAAATTTTTAAATGGGGAAGCAGAAAAGCCTGGAGGACGCCACCCCATGAAGTGCTAACTCCGGATTGCCTTGGAAGGGAAATCCTTCCCCGGAGAACGGGGGTGAAGCCTGCCAGACACAGGTCTGCTCTTCAGGGCCCCAAAAGAGCCGTAGACTTCAGGTAAGGTATGGAGCCAGGAAAAAACCTGCCGAGAGCGCAACGAACGCTGCCGAGGCCGTAAAAAGAGCCAAGACAGGGAAAGGAAGGAATGCGAGCGCAGGATTTTCCACTGCGGGTCATTCGTTCAACAGCAGCCCCATCACCCTGCTGTCACGAGGGGCCCGGGACGCTTCCCACCGCGCGCTTGCTCCCTTCTCCGAAGCCTTCCCGCAGGGGCGACGGCTGGAGCCCGTCACACTGGGACTGCGGGCCCGCCGCCCTCGGGCGCAGCGGCAGGACGCGGCACAAGTCGGAGCTCGACCCCACTGAAACCCGGGGAGGGGAGGGGATCCCTGGGGGGCACCTGGCCCAGTTGAAGCCAGGCCCCGGCGGAGGGATCCGCACGGAGGGCGGCCAAGGGCTGCCAATGGGCACGCTGCTGCCGCGCACAGACCTGGAGACTGAGGCGCGGGCCCCGAGCGCCCCCGCTCACCTTGTGCGTGTTGTTGACCAGGGCGCCCTGGACATCGCGCAGGTCGCCGCACTCGGGCAGCCGGGCCGGGCGGGAG